TTAAAAAAACTATGCAATGTTAAGTGATTAATTAAAACCAGAGTGCTAATCAAAGGCCCTTAAAAAGAGGGACCATAGCTGAGAAAGTGCCAGTCAATGGCAGATGAGAGAAAAATCTCACAAACCCTCAGGGTAGCCCAGTATCAGGTAGGAGAGACGTACTCAATCTGGTCCTGACAGCATGGGGCCAGTTCCTATATGTTACATAGAGTTAGCATCTTATTGTTTGTATATGTATATACATGTTATGGAGAGTTAGCACCTGACAGTTTGTAGATGGGCATACATGTTACCAATAGCATCTTACAATTTTCATATGTGCATACAGTACATACATGTTACATATAGTTAGCATAGTTTAGTTGTAGATGGACATACATACTATCTATACTTACCATCCTATATTTCCATCCTTGTTTCCTATAGTTCTAGTTTATACATGTGTATATGTGTTACGTAGACTTAATCTTATAATTTGTATATGTGTATGGGTACCAGAATTATGATTTCATTAGGACAGGGAACTCCTGGTAAGGAAATTGCCTCTGCCAATGCTAATGACAAAAATTCTGCAACTTATAATCTTAGACAGTTGACTAGAAGCATTGAGAGGCTAAGTGAATTTTAGATAGAAGAATCTTGCTGCCTCTGGAGATAAGAGAGAGTATTGTTATGTCTTGTATTGCAATTGTGTCTTCCTGCTGCTAAAGAAGAGCCCGATATGTTGGAGAAGAAAGAGCATTGAAGGTCTGCTGTTTGGTTGTTGCTGATCATTCAGCATGGGAAGCTCGAGAGTCAGAACTGTAGCTTTTTCTTTCTAGATTATTGATGGATATTCTAATCAAGGGCCTGAGTAAGGCAGACAGGTACATCATTACCTGAGACCAGCTCTAGGGTAGACATCCAGGGTGAGCTGATCAAGGCTGAGGACAACATGAACTGCCATATGGTTAGCTTTATGGGCATGTTCAGAAATGGATGAACGGCCCAGTTATATTGTTGTTTGTCCTTCATTCTCAAAGAGGACCATGACGTCAGGAAAGAGATGTCATGATTTGCAAGTGAATTAGATTTAAGTGAGGAAGGGCTGTGCAAAGTCATCAGCCTCATTCTCTCCTCCCAAAACATCTGGGCCCAGTGGCAAGATATAGATCAGGATGACTGGAGATGGGCCCAGATGTAGTGGGAGATCTTGGCCTTTTTGAGCTAAGGTCTTTCCCGGGTCTCAGTTTGTCTGATGCAAAGCCCATTCAGTGATTAAGGCTAGGTAAAAATGAGGCAAAGACTGGCCTCTTTTACCTAGTCAAAAAATAAAATCAATCTGGGAGGGGAAGTACCTCAGGGTTCCTGGCCAAAACAGAAACAATTGTTATTTACACTCTGAGCTGTCAGAAGCCAAACAATGACGAAGTGAGGCTTGGACTGCGACCCATTGTTAGCCAATCAATGAGAACCAGAGTGATTTGAGTTTAAGGCATGAACCATAAAAAAGAAATCTAATCCCCAAACCCCAAGATATCATTCTAGGTTTCAGTAATCAAAATTCATTTGGACAGAATACTCACAGGTAAGGGTATGATTCCCTATATGGACAGAGGGAGAGGAGGAAAAGGAGGGGAGGAAGGAAGGGAGGAAAGGAGGGAGAAAAGAGGGAAGAAAGGAAGGAAGGAAGGAAGGAAGGAAGGAAGGAAGAAAGGAGCTGCATTGCCCAAATGAAATTGGTAGTTGGGGGGGGTGGAGCTAGTACCATTCACAAGTTATTGTTTGTCCTTTGTTCTTAAAGAGGACCATGACATCAGGAAGGTGATGTCATGACTTGCAAGTGAACTGGATTTAAATGAGGGAGGGATGTTCAAAGCCACCAGCCTCATTTTCTCCTCGAAGCCATCTGGGTTCAGTGGAAAGATATAGCCCGGGATGACTGAAGATGCCATCCTGCCCTCCGCCCCCAGCTGTAGCAGGTTTATATCCAAGGTTGCAAAATACACACCCTGATTTTGCTGGACATGCTGAAGAATGCCCTTAAGTTAAAGACCACAAAAACAAAAAGCTAGAGCTCTGGGGCCTGGTGACAGAAAGCATCCATTCTGAAGTCCCAAGTAGTTTCCAGAGGAAGAGAGCATGGTCTGGGCCAAGCCAATATCTTTGAGAAATGAAGATAATCTCACCTGGGGAACATAACTTTGTCTTTCTTGTTTCATGCTTTTAGGGATTTTCTACTGTCTCCTTGGATATTTGCTTCCTCTTTTGGGGTGTTGGGGGTGAAGCAGCAGAGGGCAGGAGGATCACCAGTCATACAAACATATTTGGAAGTGTTTAAAAAAAAAGTCTTGAATTTGGAGTCAGAGGACTTGGGTTCACATTTTATCTTTTCTACTTAACATTAACTTTGACAAATCATTTCCCCTCTGTAGGCTACAATTTCCTCATCTGTTAAATGAAATGTTAGGTTAAATTAGATGTCCTCTAAGGTCTCTCTCTTTCAGCACTAAATTTCATGATATTCCCTAAGTTACTATAATTTCTCTACACATTTGACAGAAGGGAAGATAAATGCCACATTAGATTAGTTTCTTACCTCTTTCTTGATCTTTTCCCTTCTCCATGTGCCTCACAAAGGTGAGGGGATGGGCAGTGAAGGAGGTGGAATCCTAGTCAGGCATTTCAAATTTCTGGTCATTTGGGCTACAAGTAGGGCCAAGTTGTCTGGCTCAAAAAGAAACATGCCAGTTTCTGAGTCATAAACAGAACTTCCTGAAGCACCTTAATTTTTCCCTTTCAATTTCCTTGCAAAATAATAAGCAAGTCTGAGCTAGTTTGGGCCATGGGAACTGATACAGCCAAGGACAAGAGATTGGGTTGTAGGTCAGTCAGTCGATGTTTATTAAGCACCTACTGTGCACAAGACACTAAGAACTGGGGGTACAGAAAAGAAGAAGACAGTCCTTGCCCTCCAGGAGCTTACAGTCTAATGTGGGAAGATACACACACACACACACACACACACACACACACACACACACACACACA